TCTCTCTCTCTCTCTCTCTCTCTCTCTCTCTCTCTCTCTCTCTCTCTCTCTCTCTCTCTCTCTCTCTCTCACACACACACACACACACACACATTTGTTTCCCCTGCTTACACAGGTTTCCCGTTTTTCTCTCTTCTGTTCCCCTATCCCTATTCCCTCTCTCCTTTCTCTCTCTCTTTTCCCTCTGTTTCTACTGCAGGTCTGGTGATGGGTCTGTGTGGGCTCTGTTGGAGAGAGGGTTGAACCGGTTCTCATTGTGTTAGAGACGGTTTTGGCAGTGAATAAAGTGCCACTCTCAGTTGTGGCTATGATCCAATGGTATTGTGCCTGCTTGTTGCTGCTCACGGTTTTTGCTGCTCACGAGTAATGCTGTCATCTCTTGTTTACTTTTTGGTGTTTGTCTCTTTGTTGACTTTGCTTCCACCTCCTTGTCGGGAATCCTCGTCGAGTGAAGAATGCTTATCGACACCATCAACATGTCCAAGAAGTCACTGTTCAATACAACATGAGCAACGAACCATGGTAAGAGGAGAGCACATGCAACCAATGTATGTATGTGTATGTGTGTATGTGTGTATGTGTGTATGTGTGTATGTGTATATGTGTATGTGTGTGTGTGGTGTCTGTGTGTAAGTACGTGTGTGTGTGTGTGTGTGTGTGTGTGTGTGTGTGTGTGTGTGTGTGCTCGCGTGCGCGCTAGTCAACATCCCCAATCTCTCTCTCTCTCTCTCTCTCATTCCATCCTCATACCGTTACAAGCTATCCATAAACAAAAAAAAAGTATAGATGAACAATATAATAGAAGGTGCAAGGTTCCCCATGTTTGTGTGGTTGGGCGGGAAGTGCCCACACACCCGTCTGCCGCCAAAGCAGCACACTTGCACAAAATATATTTAGTTTTTCCAATCTATAATAACAAAGGTAGTCCTTCGGGACATCCGTTAAAATTGGAACGATACAGAGAAGATTAGCATGGCCCCTGCGCAAGGATGACACGCATAAATCGAGAAATGGTCCCGAAAAAAAACAAAAAAAAAAACAAAAGAAAAACAAAGGTAAAGGGCAGAAGACAATATACCTAACACGGAAGGCTCCACCAGCAAGAAAGCACCGACCAGAGGCAGCATAGTCCGAAAAAACTTGGAGAGCCCTTCGAGTCAGCCAACAAGCACAGCAGCACTGGCACTCCTATTCCTCCCAAACAACACACTCACATCACCCCTATCTCTATCAGTCCATGGCTAGGCAGTCCCCATCTGCTGTCTAGCCTCTGGAGTGTATAGAGTACCGAAAACATACATTCACAGAATCTCCACGCGAACACCAGGAGCACTACTGCCTAAAACACCATGGAAGCACCCCCATCTTCCATGTGCTCCAAAAGGGCAGCCCGTGGGAGTGACACCCACAACAAAGACTCTCTGAGCCTCCTCACGCGCGCGCGTGTGTGTGTGTACGTATGTATGTCTGTGTATGCATGCGTATGTGTGTATGTGTGTATGCGTGTGTGTGTGTGTGTGTGTGTGTGTGTGTGTACGTATATATGTCTGTGTATGCATGCATGTGTGTGTGTGTGTGTGTGTGTGTGTGTGTGGGTGTGTGTGCTCGAATGCACGTGTCTGCTCGCTTGTGCGCGCGCTCGCGTGTGTGTGTGTGTTTGTTTGTTTGTGTACATATGTACGTATGTGCGTATGTATGTTTGTCTACATGCATGCATGTATGTCTACATGCATGTATGTATGTCTACATGCATGTATGTTTGTTTGTAACCACCTTCCACTCTATAGCAAGGTGGGCCAGGGTAACCTGATGCCGAGCAGAGCAGCAGAACTCATTCTGCTGTGGCCTCATGTTATGCACAAGAACCTGGTCCGACGCTGGGCCAGGTTCTTGGTTACAAGAAGCTTCTGAAACCTGGTCCACAAGAACCCATTGCAGAAGCTAGATCAGGTTTGTGGCTACAAGCTTGGAAAGCCTGCTCTACAAGAACCTGGTCCAGAAGCTAGATCAGGTTCTTGGTTACAACCTTGAAAAGCCTGCTCCACAAGAACCTGGTCCAGAAGCTAGAGCAGGTTCTTGCTTCTGGACCAGGTTCTTAGTTAACCTGGTCCACAACCTAGATCAGCTTCTTGGTTACAAGCTTGCAAAACCTGCGCCACAAGAGACCCTGGTCCACGGGCTTGCAAGTTCCGGCGGATGCAGCTCGACTACCGTCTTCCCCCAAATTGAACTCGCAGTCATTATATGTTACATCTTCGATGCCACACGGGTCCTACCGGACCCGACTTAGGGCCGGAGGGACACACCAGGGCCTAAAGGCCCGACCTTGAGGGTCACAGGCCCTAAAGGCCTGATTTTGCACTCAGCCCAGTGGGTAGGCCCAAAC